TAAGCACAAGTGGTTGATTTAGAAGATGATTCCAGGAAATCCTGTTAGGAGATTAGGAAAGGGGAGGAGGCCAATGAAGGGTGCATTATAAAGCAAGGTACAGCAGTGGACGACTATAACCTGATTCCAGTGGGGATCATGGGGAGCCTATAGTTCCCTTTAGCTCATGGCTCCCTGAGCTGCATGCACCTGGTTATGTATAGTGTCAGCTACAGTTGGTGCTCAATGCCTGATGCACAAGGACCATCTTGGGATCTCCCTTTATCATCATTTTTACCTCTTTTCTTACACTGGATCCCATTTTCTGGATCTCTTAACCTGTCCCTTTTCTCAGCTGACACCTTTGTTTTGGTAGAATGCCTCTTCCATTGACCTTGGGAAGACAAATTAAAATCTTCCTTGTGTATTTGAAAATGTCATATGTTACTTTTATACTTCATTGATCATTTGAATTTAGGATTATAGATTATTTCCTCCAAAAATGTTGGAGTCACTGCTTCATTGTTTTCTGAAGAAATTTCTCATGTCGTTCATGGTTTTCTCATGTTCAGTGACCTTCTAATACTTGATACTGTGTGTGTAGCCTATTTTTTCCTCTCTGAAAGGTTTTAGGACTGTCTTTTTGTCTCCAGTGTTATGAAATTTCATGTTAATAGTCCTTGGTAGGATCCTTTTATCCATTGTCCTGGGCGTTCGATCGACCCTTTCAACCTGGGAACACGTTTGTCAGTTCAGAGATTTCTTGAACTTTTACAAAGAATTTCTTCCCCTTCTATTTCTGTGTTCTTTCTTTTTGGAGCTTCTGATATTCAGCTGCTAGACCTCCTGGACTGATCCTGATTTTATGTTTTCTTTCTGATTTTTTTGATCTCTGGTTTTTTGTTCTACTTTTGGGGGAATTTGCCTCAACCTCATCATCTGTGCTTCTATTGATTTTTTTAAATTTTATGTTTTATTGAAATTCATATTTAAAGTTAGATTATATTTTAATCTCTAAGAGTTCTCTGTTTCTTTTTTATTTCATTGATGAAGTATCTTGGACACCTAAGAATGTTAACGATAGTTATTTTTCTTTCCCTGAGTTGTTTGGTTTTTACAATTTCCTTGTTTGTTTTGCCTCTTTCATGTTAGAAACTTTCTTCGAAGTCTGATGTTAGTGGCTAACCTTTTCCTCTTAGGTGTAGGACAGTAAAGCTGAGTCAAGGGAGGGTGCTTATTTACTATCATAGCTTCATTCTAGGGTAATCAGCCTGAAGTTGTTGCATTGGGTGCTTCCAGCTGTGAATATCTGTAGGTCTCTTCTCTTGAGTCGGTTGTATTCCCCAGAGAAGAATCTTCCAGTCTTCTGCCCAGAGGGTTCAAACCTGACTGCCAGTTCTCTAGGGCAGGGCTCCCCAACCCCCGGGCCACGGACCGGTACAGGTCCTCAGCCTGTTAGGAACCAGCAGGAGGTGAGCAGTGGGCGAGCCGTGGAAAAATTATCTTCCACAAAACCGGTCCCTGGTTCCAAAAAGGTTGGGGACCGCTGCTCTAGGGGACCAGTAGGGGAGGTGTGCTGGCAAGTCTCACAGTTCACAGTCTGGACTGGCCCTAAAGCCCTGTTTTCAGTATAGGTCAGGTAGCTTCTCTCTGCAAAAGAACTCTATTAGATTGCTACACTTTTTATTCTTCATAAAAAAAACAAGTTTTCTAGTTCCCATTCTCTGTTATGATTCAAAAGGCTGTCAGTCACGTGAGCCATAGGATATGGACAGAGTCTGCTTATGAAAACCACTGCCATGACCGTCTACTAGTTTCTAAGATAGTCTATTTATTCGTTTATTCTTTCCTTCAGCAGTCCAGGTTAAATATCTAATGCGTGTACAGTTTTATGCTAATCCTGTCTGGGAGATACGCAGAGCAGCATACTAGTATCCTGCTCTCATGGGCCAGGGGAGAGATTGCTATTAGGAAGCTGTTTCTGCAGTAAACCCAGTGGAAGCAGGTTGAACTAGAATAGCAAAGGTGGGAAAGTAAAGATGGCGGCTTAGAGAGATTGTAACAATTTGAAAGAAAGGCTAAAGCTATGGCAAATATAAAGATAATGTGAAGGAGAGGAGTTAGGTCCCTTTAGAAGAGAAGAGAAGGGTCCCTAGGGGCACATCTAACTTGGTGATGCTATCTAGCCCGAGATCATATTATAGGAATTCTAATGTCTTAAGTTTGTATTTTTCCAGGCTTCCTCTCTGTTTCTTCAAGTACTGCTTTAAAAAAAAAAAAAACTTATTTATTTATTTATTTGGCTGTGCCGGGTCTTAGTTGTGGCATGTGGGGTCTTTTAGTTACGGCATGCTCACTCTTAGTTGCAGCATGCACGCAGGATCTAGTTCCCTGGCCAGGGATCAAACCCAGGCCCCCTGCATTGGGAGCGTGGAGTCTTAACCCCTGGACCACCAGGGAAGTTCCTTCAAGTACTGCTTTTTAAAATCACTTAAAAATAATTATGTTAACACTTAAAAATGGTTAATTCAGACATCTGATTATGTTTTTCAAGAACACATAAATTTTACTAATCCAAGAGTCTTAAAAATAGTTAATATCTGTGAATAAATTTAAAAGCTGGTCTCTTCAAATATATGAATCACTAAGTATTTTAGATGATTTGAAGAAATAAACTAATAGAATATGGTTTTCTTCCCCCTTCTCGTGAAAATGTAGAACATATTCAAGATGTTCCTAAGTAATTAATGGAAGAATTGAACAACATAATCAAACAACAGTGAAAATGATAAATTTGAAAATCAGCCACAGTATATTAAACTGTTACAATTATTTCAGGTAGTTGCTTACCGGAAGACAGCTCTTAGCAGAACCAAGATCTAAGCACAAATCAGTAACCAAATTCATGAAAGAAATAAATCTTTAGAGTGTAAAAACAGGACTTGAAGGGATTAACCACCGTGTGTGTTTTCATTCCTCGGTTTCTTTGATCTCCATTTATCTTCTTTCCTTCTGTTCATTTGGTACCTCTTATTGTCTGGTGTCTGCTTATTTGTTTTATTTGTGCTAATGTTACTCCTTCTTTGTGTTTCCCTGGTACCTTGTGTGTATTAGCTGTTATTGCATTTATCACATTTGTTGCCACTGTTTACGTATCTGACACCTCACTCTACTGTGAGCACCTTGGCAGGGACTATGTCTTTCCTGGATTTCAGATATGGCTTATTGTAGAAAAGTCTTTGAACATATACTCTAATTATACCATTCCCCCCAAAAAATGTGTCATCATGTGACATTTTCAATTTTTTAAATTTAACGTGTATGATACACTTTTCTATGAGAAGCAAAGTAAAGAAAATGTGAATTTTACATTTTTTCCAGGTACCACCAGGCTTTACATCTGTTAGCATGACTAATTGCTACTCATTATGTGATTCTAAGCTTAAAGATTTTTCTCACCCGAAACCTTCTTTGCGATGCCCACTCCTACAGATTAGGGTGATGCTGTATACTTTCGTGACTTGCTGTAATCTCCCCACATGACACTTGGTATATACACTTCACTCTAATTGCTTTTAAAATAGACGCTACCGTCAGTTCACTATAAACTTCATAAAGGCAGAGGCCATAGCTGTCTTGTTCATTATAATATCCCTGGGCAAACTTGGGAGGGTGACCTCTCATAATAATTCTCTTTGTCTGCAGATTCGACCTTTGAAGCCCAAAGTTTAAATAAAAACCTATTCAAAAGAAATGTTCAAGATGAAATGGCAGCCACTAAATGCTGGAAGTGTGTGCTTTAGCTGTGATTCTATCAGGGGTTTCTAAACAGATGGAATCCTGGGCATAATTCTAGGTTAATGTACATTCCCAACTCTGATAATGAACCTGAGAAGCCGTAGTATCCTAGCATCAAGTAAATCATTGTCTTTAACAGTGTGGTAATAAAGCTGTTTCTTCCATGAAAACTGGATTTGCCTTCTAGGCATCTTCTTTTATAAAAGTAAAAGCAAAAAAGAAATTGAAATGCTGTCTTTGTGGCACAAAACTAATTTTCAGAAGCAGTTATGTGCGAGAAAAGTAATTAAGTCTTTTTAATGAACATAATATTTCTGTTCTTCATGGGACTGTTTACTGTTAGAATCTTAGTTGAGAGGTGATTTTGAAAATAGCTCTATTTTATACATGGTGTAAGTGAAACACGGCATAAGGCCCACACTGCAGGAGTTATCAGTTAATTTCCTACTTCAGTCCATAGTTTCCTAGAATTGAAATACAAGGTAGAATCCTAAAACTTCAAGATCACATAATCCCGTAGTTTTCGAAATGCTTTCTGTGGGCCACCCAGATCCACAGAGGGACTGAAGGGCCACAGCAATGAAGAGAGTATCAGAAAAGGCACAGGAGTAGAGAATGGACTTGAGGACACGGGGAGGGGGAAGGGTAAGCTGGGACGAAGTGAGAGAGTGTCCTGGACATATATACACTACCAAATGTCAAATAGATAGCTAGTGGGAAGCAGCCGCATAGCACAGGGAGATCAGCTCGGTGCTTTGTGACCACCTAGAGGGGTGGGATAGGGAGGGCAGGAGGGAGACGCAAGAGGGAGGGGATATGGGGATATATGTATATATATAGCTGATTCACTTTGTTATACAACAAAAACTAACACACCATCCTAAAGCAATTATACTCCAGTAAAGATGTTAAAAAAATAAAATAAAAAAAGGAAAGGCACAGGAAGACGGGCAAGAAGGGATCTTCACCTGGAAGAGCTTTGCCTTTTCTATTAAATTCCTCTTGAGATTTTGAGAGAAAGGGAGAGTTTAGCAATTAAAAGAGCAGGTGTGTGTTTATCTGTGGACCAAGCTGCGCATATTGCAGATGAAGACGTTGGTGGAGGGGCAATTTTCGGTAGCTGAGCTGGTTTAGAGACCGGTGAAGGCCTGACTCCCCACCCAGCCCTGTCCCTCCTACATCACGTTGCCTGCTTTGAAAGTCTCTTATCTCTTTGTCTCCAGCTTCCAGAGCTAAACTCAGCATGATCAACACCATGTCAAAAATCCGTGGCCAGGAGAAAGGGCCAGGCTATCCTCAGGCAGAAGCACTGCTGGCAGAGGCCATGCTCAAGTTTGGAAGAGAGCTTGGGGATGATTGCAACTTCGGTAATGTATGCTTCCTCACATTTTCATTTTTCATTCGTCCATGGGATTTTAGTGCCACTAAGAAAACTCTGTAGGAAATCATCCAAACCCATGTTATATTTTGATTCTCAATTTTAGATCTTGTCCACATGGGCCCCAAATTTGTTTTCAGAGTCGTTTCATCATTTTTGGTGTCATTTGTCTTAGGAATTTTATGTATTTTCTTTTTTCCTAATGAGATCCCATCATTACAGTAGCTGGGTGACACATCCAGATGCCTGGACATTTACCATTGCACGTGTCTGGCGGTAACTAGAGTGTTGGGACAGAGGGAACTGTCACAGTCAGCATGAGTCAGCACCCCACCCCATGAGCTTTCTCTTTGCTCCCTGCTCTTCTATGCAGGGTACCTCATTTGACTGCCCCAGGTGAATTCCTTCACCCCTCCCTCCTTTGACCCTCAGCTGCCATAGTAACCACCTTCTGTTTTCCCTCCACTATGTGAGGTCGCAGCAAATGACTGTCCTTCCTGATTGAGCCCTGTGCTCTGTTCCTGGTATTTGCTTTTGCTCAATGCGCTGGCATTAAAGAGGTCTCCTCTAAGGGAAAGCAAGCACTTACAAAGGAGGGTAGGGGGCTTCCAAATTGCTTTTTAAAGGAAAAGCAAAATTTTATGTTCTTTATAATAAGGGGTCCCTCTACCCCCCATTGGGGGCATTGAGTCTATTGTACTCAGTGAACTTTCATGTACTGTCTCAGGTGGAAAGTACACTGATCTCCAGAGGGCAGTATATGCTGTCTGTTGTCTTGGTTGTCTTCAGAGGACAGACAGTAATCCCAGGTTTTTCGTCTGTGATGGGTGCTGTTGCTGCAAGCGCATTTCACCTTCACCTTTGTTCTTGAACGAGTACAAGTGCTTCGTTATCCCCTTGCAGGCCCAGCGCTTGGTGAGGTGGGGGAGGCCATGCGGGAACTCTCGGAGGTGAAGGACTCTTTGGACATGGAAGTGAAGCAGAACTTCATTGACCCCCTTCAGAATCTTCATGACAAAGATCTGAGGGAAATTCAGGTATCTGTGGCTAGTTATTTGGGAAGTGGGCAGTTGGAATTGTACAGATGCAGGGGCCCTTCTCCTTTAGGAAACATTTTTTAAAGCTTTACCGTGCATGTTGTCAGCACGGAGCATGTGAATTGCAAAACAATCCAGCACGATAAATCGAGAGAAACCGGAAATGCAGTACTTTTAGCCCCAATATTATGATGACTGTGCCACTCCTGAGTATTACATGTGACTTCTCCACGTTCAATTTTCAAGTTTTTTCAAGCTTTTTTCTCCATGAGGGTAATATCCTTTCCCTGATAATATACAATTTTCTTTATTATTCTGTGGTTTTCTGGGGGCGATTTCACCTTCTAAAATGCTAACTGTACCAGCTGTTAGCTTAAATACATAATTATTCTATTACTCTGTAAACATGTGTTTTCATATTCTCATAATGTTTGTTAGGATTGAGGGAGAACCCAACTATCCTCTTTCTAAAACATGTAGAAGAGTTTAGCTATTCCAAATAATAAACTTCAACTGGCTTTACCTAGAACTAGCTGTGTAATGTTTGCTCATTCATTCTTTTAACAAATATTTGTTGCACTTGTCTGAAATTTGATTTCCTTGACTGTAAAATGAAGCGCCATAACGTGTAGTCTCCCTGATCTCCTTATTCCAGCTTAAATCTCCTTCAGCCCTACCACCGGCTCAAGGTCACACAGTTAGTATGTGGCAGACTCACTCCAAATCTAACATGTAACCCTGCCTCCAGGACTCTACCCTGCAGCTGACTGCAAGTTCAGATGTTCTAAAAGAATATTCCTTCCAAAGACACACACATTTAGTCTGGATCAGGGCATGGATTGGAGGCAGGGTGTACGGTGGGCGGGGAGGTCGAGGATATCCTTCCTCCTTCCTTCTCATTTCTTCACCACTCCCAACTCTGTTTCCGTTTCCTTCCCTTTTACTCCTTGCACACCCAGGATCAAGGAAACTCTAGCATTTTCTCCCACCCATTAGTAGTGAAACACTGCTGCTCATAGGACAAAAATACTTTGTAGCTTTCGGAAGGAAACTCCTTTCCTACTTGGTCAGTGGAGGCGTCGGACAAGGCTAGGCAGCCACACACCAGGAACGTGTGCATCTGGGGTGATGCAAAGAGGGATTGATGCGCAGTGTATGGTGTTAGGTCCTTTCCAAGTTAGGTCTAGATGATGACTACGTGTTATCATCTGTTAGACGGGAGACTTAAATTAATCCACGGTTCTCCTAAAGATACATCAGTCAACTAGGGTAAGTGCTGAGACAGAGATTCCCGGGCCTCAGCCCTGGATATTCTAATTCAGGCGATCAAGAATCCGTATTTTTAATAAGCATCTTAGGTGATTCTAACAGACTGGATTACCTCAGAGATAAATCCTTTCCAGCACTAATGTTCTATGATATGAAAAGGAAGAATACCATGCTATCTCACTCATTTCAAGGAAAGCATTTTTCCTCTGCCTTCCCATGAGATACCACTTCCCTTGAAGATGGGGACTTGTGAGCCCCATATACCTGTGCTTTCCAAATGTGTAGGGTGTGTACACACATCCCTGGCTTCTGTCGTGGGATGGAGAGGGATATATTCCACTTTAGCTTTGACCCAGCAGGGGTAGAAAATAAAGGGTATTGGTATTTCCCACAATTTCTTTCTTGCTATTAATTATTTTTAAAGATGTTTCCCAACATAAATGTTTTAGCATTTGGAAGCGTTTGCCCCAGTGATGCAGGTTTCTTTATTTTTCTGGTGACATGATGTTTTAGAACTTAGCCTGTATTATTTTGGAAGCTAATAGGCATGATGGGGAAGTGAGCTGTAAATAGGCCTTTTCCGTACGTCCTTTCAAAGCATATTCCTGCCCTTGACTTTTTCAGCATCATTTAAAGAAGTTGGAGGGTCGACGCCTGGACTTTGATTACAAAAAGAAACGACAAGGCAAGATTCCAGATGAAGAGCTACGTCAGGCTCTGGAGAAATTTGATGAGTCTAAAGAAATTGCTGAGTCAAGCATGTTCAATCTCTTAGAGATGGATGTGAGTGACTCTCCTGTGGTTTTTAATTTAGCTTTGGCTTTGAGGCACGAGATTAATGTGTTAAAGGGTTATGTAATTAAAAATGTTAATGACTGTACTATGTGGCGAGAACTTCAGTAGATGGTTATTCTTTCAAATTATTTAAAATTATAAAGTAGACTGAGAAATGGTGAAGCTTTTTCTATATTCCTGTAGTTTGATTTAACTAGATTTTTGTCTGCTAATGATCTTAAAGTATTATAAATAGTGGGGAGATAAAGAATGTTTCTGATGATCTGTAGAAGTCCAGTAGCTTAAGCAAATACTCTGTTGAAATGTGAAATGTAAGGCAGACTGACTTCAGATTAAATAAGATTATCAGTCAAGTAAAATGTATTCAGAAGTGAGTGTCCAACATAGGTTAAGATAGTCTGTATTTTGAAGTAAAGTCGACATTTTCTTTCCAAAGATGATTTCAATTGAGATTGACGATTGTAGCATAGATACTACATTTGGGACATAGATGAGATAGTTTAAAAGTTGCCTTCACATTTCCAGAGTGCTGAATTACTGTTCACGGCTTTAGAACTTCCATTCCGACCGCTCATGTCATAAAACCTGTTAACCAGCTTTCCTGTCCTTGCTCATCCCCACCTCCGGCCCCATCAGTTGCTGACCAGCTTCTGCCAAGATATTTACAGAGCCTTTATGTACTTATCACACCCCCGACTGGTGACAGGGGAGGCAAGTTGAACATATCCAGACTTTCACACTATCCAGCGACAGTGTCAGAGTGTGTGTTTATGTAAAACAACGTGTCCACCTAACTACTGAAGAGGAACACCGTGGGGATGAGGGTGACCCGAATCACAGTGTTCCTTCCCTTCACCCAGAACCCTACCCCCCCCCAAAACCCATGGGGCAGCATTGCCTCTGTTAACTCAGAGGCCATTATTCAGCTGGTTCACAACACAAGACTCAACATGAAGAGTAACCAAAGATGCTTAGAATATTAGAGCTGGAATGAACCCAAGATGTCACTTGACTCAACCCTTTTACATTGCAGATGAGGGTCAGAGAGAACAAAAGGTTTTCCATCATACCACGCTGTCTCCCATAGTGCTTCATGTGAGAAATCAATACCTACATTTTTATTAACAGCACTAATACTGACTTGGCGTGAAGTTATGGAGAGCAAGGAATGTTCTAGTCAGTGCACCTTTTGTCCTATAGGAAATCAGTAAAATAAGCCGAACCCTAATCAGAAGGCTGTAGCGAAGCCTGAGACTGTTTGATGAGAGCTAGGTCGTCTTCAGGAGGATTCTGACAAAAGTTTCTTCTCTTAGCACTCGAGTTTCCAAACACAGGGACGCTTTCTTATCCTCAATCAGTTTGTAACTTGCAAAACTATCTGTCGGTCAGCCTGGCTCACCACACAGTCATGGGCATCACCGAGCACTGGTCCGTGTGTCCGGGGTAGCTGTGTCGTGTGGACTGGGCACTAGCAGCTGGTTAAGGACAGTAACCTGGTAACTAAGGTGTGATTCCCCTGTTGATCTGCAGATCGAACAGGTGAGCCAGCTGTCTGCGCTCATCCAAGCGCAGCTGGAGTACCATAAGCAGGCAGTCCAGATCCTGCAGCAAGTCACAGTCAGACTGGAAGAAAGGTATTTTACAGCTCCCTGCATTTTCCATTTCCATTTTCTTGCTATGAAATGGTGTATAAAGAAGTGGAAATATTAGAATACATTCGAAGAAAAACTTCCACCAAAATTCCTGCTGATCCTACAAAGACACCTTATGGACCATTTGTTTTGATTTTATATTGTCTTGGGCTTTGTTTTACCTTGTTCGGTTGAATCTAGTCTTGTGTTTATGAGAGCTAAATACTTAAGGAGTATTTTGGATGCCACAGATGGGACACCAGGACTCTACTAATGGTAATGGATGTGATTTGCTGAGCAGCTCTTCTGTGTGGGTACTGAAAGTGTATCATCATCAATCATAGAAGAGCCCTGTAAACCAAGTATTGTTAGCCTCACCTAACAGACGAGCAGACTGGGGCTCAGGGTCACACAGTGGTGCAACAGAGGTTCACGTTTAAGCATAACCTGTTGGAAAGCCTGTGTCGTTCCATACCTTGTATTTCTCTGAATGGTGACGAGGTCCGTCAGAGGGAGCTGCTTTCTTATGTCTGTCCCACCTCCTCAGATGGGCCTCATAGCCAGGCTGGGTGGTTTAATTCATGAATGAGTCTCCCTGGAGCTGCAGGACACAGCCTGCACAGCTGTACACGGTAGCCCTGTGCTATATCATATGTGTTATTTTAGTTAAACTAAATGCGTGTACCTCAAAGGATTGCCTCAGCAGCTTTTATTCTCAGCTCACGGCCAGAGTCGACTCTCATAGCTGATGATATGGCTGTAAGTGCACAAGGCAGCCTCCAGTTACGGTGCTGTATTACGGGAAACGACCTCACCCGTTTCCATCTGGCCAGCCTCTTCCTCTCCTCAGTATCTTCCTTGACTAGTGCTTGGATCGTTCATCTTTCCTCAGTGCACCCTTGTGGAATTATGTGTAACACTCTGAAGCCTCTAGAATGGTTTAAAACCATGCACTTCCACGTACTAAAGAAATATTATATGTCTTTGTGACATCTGTTGAGCACGAAGGCCACTTTTCTTTCTTGCCTCTGAAATATGTCCAAAGCCACTGTCATTCTACAGCCGCCATACCCTAAACTCCCCCCACCCTTGCAAATCTGCTGTTCACTTTGCTCCGTGAACACCTGAAGCTGTGGAAAATACTTCCGGGTGTGCAGAATACATTTACTGCCTGTACCTTTCCACCTCTCTCCTGTCTCCCTTGGATTCTCTACCCCTTCCTCTGTGCTGTTCCCAGAGCACACAGTATTTCCCCCTTTCCTCCCTCCATACCGTCTGAAGCTCTACAAGAAATAACTTTCTTCTGGAAACAGCTGTCCATCTAGAAATGACTCCTACCTATCTTTTACCTTTTCTCCTTAAACCTTCTCCAACTTCCCCATGGACAGGTAGACTCCTCACCACCCCCATCTCCACCCCTGGGTTCCTGTGGCATTTTGTCCTATCTCCGTAGCAGCACTTACTACAGTTGACAGTAATCGGTTGTTTATGTTCTGTCTCCCCTCCGGGCCATAAGCTGCTTGAGGGTAGGAACTGTGACTTATTCATCTTTGAGTTTCTGGCACCTAGCACCCTGCATACTTGCAAAGTGAGCTCTGAGTAAATGAGGGAGAAGGTGAGAGGAAGGATGAAGGCAGTGAGGGTATAACCACAGCGGGTGTGACCACAGCACTAAAGTGGAGACAGACACAGATAAGAAAACTAAGGGTCCTTTTCAGATTTCCCATACTCCACAATGGTAGGTTGGTGGGTGACCTAAGCATTTTCAGGATTGTATTGCTTTTCTTTTTCTTCTTAATTGGCTGCATACTCTACCCCCCTTTTTCTTTTTAATGCAGAATAAGACAAGCTTCATCTCAGCCTAGAAGGGAATATCAGCCTAAACCTCGAATGAGCCTGGAGTTTACAACTGGGGACAGCACTCAGCCCAATGGGGGCCTCTCCCACACGAGCACTCCCAAACCTGCAGGTAAGGAGCGGAGGCCTGCAGAACCCATTCCCCGGGCCTGGGCACACTGCCCTGACACTCTTCCAGAGATGCTAGGAGCAGTCCAATCTGTGTGTGCATAAGGAATCCACTATAATACATTTCTTACAGGATGGTTTTGTCAGGTAGAAACTCTTAAAGGAGTTCCTTCTTGTCTCATTGATTATCTCTTCCCCTCCTTTACTCTCTCTCCTCTATAAAACTTTCTTTGTTAGGTCCCTTTTTTTCTCTCACTGTCCATCATCAGCACATACTTAACTGTTCTAACAAACACATTTGATTTTGACCCTCCTTTGTGGTCTTACAATTACCTTAATATGTGAGTTTACTTGTAGGGATGTCATCTTTTCTTCCTGTTATTCTGCTTCCGTGATTCCTGCCTGCATGAGGAATCATGCTCCTGGGCAGTGCGTGCCCACATACACTCACTTATAACCCACAGACAGCAAGCAGCTCCAGGAACTTGCTGAGTTGGATTTCTTGAGTCACAGAAGCATGTGGGTGAATATATTTGTAGATGAATATATTCTGAGTCTGAGCATCTGCTAGACTTCCCTCCTTTCCCCACCCTCCAGCCAGTTCATCGTGCTGTGGTAAGAGGTTGATACAATGGAAGCTAAAACTTATTTTCCATCAGGAATGTTGATGTATACCCAGTAATGTATTCTTTTAGGTGGTACCACCGCTCTCCACCCCCTACACACAGATCAGATAAAAACCTGTGCTTGAAATATATTCAACCTTGGTAATCTTCTTGGTTGAAGAACAGGAACTATCTCATACTGGATATGGATTTTAAGGATATGCAGCTTTCTCCTGTTTTCCCTGCATTCCCAGTGCCTGATGTTCTACAGTAGGAAACATAGATGCTCTCAGGAGACCATGAAGGAACAAAGTGAGGTGTGTGACGACAGTTGGAGTTCTCTGCCCCTTGTGCTTAGCTCTGCTGCTCAGAGCCCTCAGTGTGCGGATAAACAGCAGTGGTTTTTAGAAGTTATCTGGCTACAAGGACTAGTCATATAAGTTATAGGTAACCTGCTTCCCCCTGCTCAAAAACCAATCCCATATTTCACTTTTCTTTTGGAGACTCATTAATTTGCTTTCTCTAAGTAAAAAAAAAAAAAAAAAAAAAATTCATTGTTCCCCTCCAAAGCCATCTAGATGGCATGGAGCTGTATGCACTTGTCTGCGTCGATATACATATGTGTGTGCCTGCTGTGTTAATATATTTGCTCATGTAACATAGATCCCTTTTAAGCTATGATCCCATCCTTCAATATTTAACTCAAGGAAGAATATATTATTTTTCTATGCCGTAGCTCTGATGCACACCTCATGTTTATATATGCAATATATAACGCAAAGGTGTAAATTATATCATTTTTATATAATCTCATTTAATAGCCAGACTAGTACTGTGAAAAGTAAGTTCTACTGTTAGTTCCAATTTTAGACAAAGAACCTGAGAGCAAAGTGCCTTAGGCAAGGTCACAGAGAGTAAGAACTTGAACCCAGTGTTTTATATTGTCTTATTTTTACTACATTACAGCGGTTTCCAGAGGCTGGGTGGGGAGGGGTCTTTATTTTTAAAAAATGAGAACTGCATTGTTATTCTGAAGTTGTAAAGTTTTGTCCGTGTAATAAACTCTGTTATTTCACATGTGCAGAGATCTTAAAGTGCTAGCATGGAAAGAATTCTGGCCACGCTTCATTTTGAACCTAAATCTCGTTAATACTCCTTAAGTCATTGGGTCTCCCATCTCTGGGCATTGTTAGCAAGGCCAACCTTGATGAATTGTGTTGTACGTATCACAAGGATAGATGTGGCCAATTTTTCATACTGGAAATAGAAACAGCAATTCAGCAACTTCAAGAAACATGAGAAAGCTTCTGAAGACTGCTAGAGGGCAAGGTGCCGTGCAGCAGACACTGGGGACCAGTAGCAAGAGGAAGCTTCAGCGGGAAGAGGAGTGAGGGAGGAACCAAGGGGGACGGCAAGCTGGGCAGGTGCAGCAGGAGGTAGATACGTGCATTAAATTCCCCTTGTCTTTCTGTGTTCTTCTCTCCTGCTCTTACTCCCAGGTGCCCCAATGGATCAGCCCTGCTGCCGAGCTCTGTACGACTTTGAACCTGAAAATGAAGGGGAGTTGGGTTTTAAAGAGGGTGATATCATCACACTCACTAACCAGATTGATGAGAACTGGTATGAGGGGATGCTCCATGGCCAGTCAGGCTTCTTCCCCATCAATTATGTGGAGATTCTGGTTGCTCTGCCCCATTAGGATGTCATGCTGGCTGGCTCACCTCCTCCTGACCCAGATAGTTACGTTTAACCACTGCTTTGGTAATGCCGCTTACAACACATCCCAAGCGCAGGCTGCAGTGGTCCAAGTCGTCAAGCCCCGCTGAGTACGTTTCGTTGACTTGTGTGATCCCACGAGAGTCATGGTGATGGATAGTATCTTCTTAGCCTGGTGGGCATGGCATGTGCTTTTTAAATACCATCTGAGACCAGCCAGAATTCACAGAACTGCTGTTTACACAGTTCTCAGGAGGATGTGGCTTCTTAGAATATGACCATCAGCCACATCACAGATAAACCATCCTGCCGAAGATGTTATCTACCACCCGGGGCCATCTCGAGGTCTCAGGTTCTCCATTTAAATAGAGGAGAAAGTTCTCGTTTTCACATTGACCCCTCCCAAACACGTGAGTCACAGAATTGTCAAAGGAAGCCTCCCTCACCAGCAAATTGTCTTCTGGTCTGAACGAGCGAGTCCCTTGATGCTGTCAATATAAAAGTGTTGAGTGTGGGTTCAGAGCCTTCTCTGAGAACAGTCACCTTTGTTCCACAGCTTATGCCTATTTCTGAGTTACAGCCGGTTTTCTTCCCTCCCTGCTGTTAAAGCCAGAGGGGGATTCCCATTTTATTTCTAAGTAAGACAGTTAGCAGTCAGCATATTGAGGGAGGAGCTGAAGAGGAGATTCTCCATTATGAGGAAATGGGAAGAGATCTGGTTTCCAAGCTTAAATTTCTTGCTGTACAGAAACCATGTATACATACAGGGCATTTCTGAAGGTACCTGGACAGGGGAACAAATATCTTCACTTCAGTCTTATTTATGAATTACATGTTTCATGAATACATTTGGTATAGAGACACAAGAAGAAAAACACTAGAAACCATTTTCCCACTAGTTCATAGACCGAGAAACAGTAACCATCTTCCCACTCCACTTTCACCTTGTGTTCTTTGAACATCATTTGTGCATATTCTGCCCTCAATGAGGACCAAATAAAGATGATTTTTGTGCTTAGCAGTTTAAGATGTGTGGCTGCATATGCAAAGCTCTTTCCCAATTCAGTCATGACTTTTATTTCTGTGCCTTCTATCTCCTCTTCATTTTGTGTGTACAGTGCTGTGTGTAAACTTATGAGTGGTTTTCTTCATTTATTTGTTTCTTGCGGGTTTTTTCGTATCAGTCATTAAAGTCCTGTTAGGCATCCAGAGTTCTGTTTATCTAGCTGTACAGATTCTTTCAGAGGTTTAATGTGCTGCTTTGGATGTGCCACCTGCGGTAGTGGATCATGTGGAGCGACAGGCAAATCTTACTGCTTAATGTATAAACTCTTAACCACGGGAAGCGTCGCTGTTTCCAATAAATATTGCTGAAGACAGAACCAAAGGCTCTGGTCCTTTATTTTGTGTCAGTTCTCTGGGTCCGACAGTGGGTGGACTAGTCTTCATTGCCTTCTGATACAACCAAAGCAGACCTGGTTCCAACCTCAGACCTACTTCTCTGTAAGCAGGGGAAGTTCCATTATCAAGAAGCGACTTAGCGTGGACACTGGTAACTTACTGGTAACCCAGGGAAGGAGGAGATTTGAAACAGAAGATAAGAAAGTGGAGAGAAGAAGAAGTTCTAGAAGTTAAATGAGATAGCATCATGGTGATATACTCAGAAGAGTGTAATATTCAGAGGAGCAAATAAAATGTATCATTTCAATCAGTCTTTTGTTTTCTTTCATGCTTAAAGAGAAAGGAATAGACGTGGAAATACAGACTGGCCAAAAGGTGGCCGCCTTTTCTCTTGGTGTATATATGGGGGGAGGGGTAGGTAGGTGGGGGGAGGGGAGCAGTGCATACAGAATATGTATTTCCTGAGCTCCTGGGAAAATAAACATGTTCTTTATGTACTGGGTGCCCTTTGTATTCCTCCATGCCGAGGCCAATAGTCCAAATGTTCTAATCTAAAACAAATTGTTTTAATCAAATATATTAGGTTCACATATATACTGTATGTGAACTGCTGTAACATGAAAATAATATTTTTGCTAGCTATGAGTTAGAGTATTATAGATCAATTCTTCAAACCAATTTAAAGAAGAAATTACCAATGACATTATTGTGAATGGAGAAAATCCAGAAGAGTCACAGATAAACTATTAGACTCAATAAGTAAATTTAATAGGATTACTGGATATATAATCAATATCCAAAAAATTTTTATATACCAGTAACAGTCAATTAGAAAAAAGTAATTAAAATGTATATCATTTACAAAGGCATCAAAAATTCAAGTCTATAGACATAAATCTAATAAGAATTATATAAGATCTCTACATAGAAAATTATGAAACATATTTGAGAAAAAATAAAGAAGACCCTAATGAGTGAAGAGATATTTACATTTATGGGTTGGAAAACTCAGCATTGTGAATGTGTCATTTCTACCCAAATTGACCTATAGGTTTAGTGCAATTTCAACCAAAATCTCAGGGAGTTTTTTGTGTGTGTTTGAATATTGACAAGCACATTATGAAAGTTATGTGAAATGCAAACGGATATTTCTTCTTAAAGAAGAACAACTTAGTTGGAGGACTTTCTCTAGATATAAAACATAAAGCTATAGTAATTAAAGTGTGATGTTGATTCAGTGATAGGACAAAAGATGATCCGTACAGAAGAGCAAGTCCAGAAAGAGGCATATATGTATTCAACCATATTTGAACCAGTAAAGCTTTCTGTTGTCTTTAATGTTACACATTCAGGTGTGATATATATATATATAATATATATATTATAAATTGAGTAATTGCTGTAAACCAGAAACTAACACAACATTGTAAATCAACTATACTTCAGTTAAAAAAAACATGCCTCAGTAGTAAAAGTTGGTTTATAGTTATAAAGTTAAAAAAAAAAAACAACTGCTTTTGCAGACTGCCTTTCATCCCATGGGGGTGGTGATGGTGACACGAAGGACTTAATGCTAAAGAAAGCAACATCTTGAAGCTACCGTTTGGAACTCTGTGTGGTGGTTGGTGAAGACTTACTGGGCTACATGGAGAGGTGGCTACACCAGCAATTTCTAGGCCCAGCTGTTGGGGACCTAGGAGGTGTCAAGGAAAAGAACAAAACTCTTTTTGAAAGGACCCGATGAAGGCTAGCCGCTTAAAGGTCAGGGTGTTGAATGTCACTCACTTCTCGTGTGTCTAAGTGATGGTGGCCTCCCATCTGGGTCAGAGAAGCTGTGATTCTTGACAGGAGTGAGGCAGGCTGTCAGCTTTGGAGGTAAAGGAGTGGAGAGCAGCATCTCAATACCATTTTCTCAAAAAGGAACCCTGGACTTTTTTTGTACTACCTTATGTGATTATTCACCCATATGTACCAAGGCCAAGATTTTGGGAAGTCCCTTCAGATAAGAAATAACAAAGCTTCACAGTTAGAGGGGTGGAGAATAAAGTTTGAATATCAGGAAAATTCGAAGATGTTTGGAGACCTTCGTGTAATCTGGGTTCTTGATTTTTTTTCTGCATGACAAGTGTGGTCTCAGAAACAAGGGTTTCATATCTGTTTTTGGATGTCATCTGAAAAATGTTTGTAGCATTCACGAAATTAGGAATTTTCCTTTCTTTATATTCCAGGCTTGCAAAATGTAGATTTCTTCACCTGGCAGAGTCTATCCTGATTATAGGCTTTTAGGGGCCTTTAAGCAATAAAAATAGGTGTGCATTTACAGCTGTGTTTGAATTTCCTGTATCATTGTTTTCACACCAGGGAATCAAACACATTCAACGCTTTTATCAGATGATGCTTGTAATCGTTGCTTGTAATTGTATTACCGCGTATCGAGCACTGCATTAAGCTCAATATATGTGATTTTGATTGAAGACTAAGGTGTTAAACACTTGGCTCTTTGGGGTCAAACACTGGAAGAAAGAGAGCTTTGTAAAAGGGTTGATTGTTTACCCAGTGTAGTCTCAGGCTTACTGGTATTTAGATCTTAGAAAAGAAAAAAGAACCTACCAACATTATGAAATATCTTAGTAGCAAGACAAAAGGTGAGCTCCTTGACGGTGAAATAAAGAGACTATAAGGTCTTATAAAAGGCTGGTTTCATAGAATGTCAGACATAGGAGATGAAGAAAGTAAAGAGAGAAGTTTCAAAAGAAACATTTTTCACACTTTACCTCCCTGCTAATGTTTCGGCTTCCTCTAAATATTTCTGTGTGTGACTGGTAAAAGAAACATCACATTTCTTTATTTTTCTAAACCCAATTAAGTATGGCTTTCTTCCCGCTCCCACCAGAATTGGCAGGCAGTGCTCTCTCGGTTCTGTCTGTGGGGAAGGGCCTCTGGTCCTCAGCGTAGGTGATGCTACTGCTGCCAGGTTTTCTCGTCCAGGCCTTTGTGGTCTGCTAGAAAGTACAGCTCCAGCCCTGTCTGCCTGAGCTTGGTGCTGGGTCTTTGCTGAAAGTCCCAAGCTGGAGCATCAGCACCCAGCATCCCTAGGCACAGGGCCATCCACCCCTGAAAATTTACCCCTTCTTCATTTAAGTCCCGTACTCCATCCAGTAAAACAAAATACACCATTTACTGCTTTACCACCTATCCTAGATACAGTGATTGACTAGATTTGGGGAAAAGGCCAGAGGATCTGTATTTTAAAAAGCTCCACAGTGATTCTTACCTGCATCTCTTACCAAAACATCTGCCTCCATCAGGGCTCGTGAAGATGAAGAAATCAGGAAGGCACCTACAGAGCCTCCTAAACTTACCGAACGGTTAAGAGTCACGTGGGGGAACTTGCGCAAATTTCCAGGTTCTCTTTCCAGCTGCTCTTAATCAGAATGGCCCACTGAAGGGCCTGGAAAGGTATATTTACCATCAGAAAGGTTTAGGAAACAATCATCTACAGTACTTCTAAAACTGAAACATGCATGAGAATCCCCTGGAGCTTGTTAAAACAGATGCTTGGGCCCCAGCCCCCAGAGACTGATTCAGTAGGTCTGGGGTGGGGTGAGAATGTGCACTTCTAATAGATTCCAAAATGATGTGTTTCCTGATCCCTGGACCACACTTGGAGTAGTACTGCTCTATGAGGTACACTTCTTAGGAAAAGCCAGCTGTGTCACCACTCCTGTCAGGAGTTAACCTGAGCATTCTGCAGTACTTTTAACTATCTCTTTTCACGGGAATCTGCCTTGTAGCATGCACCTCTTCCTGCTTCTGATGGGAATGGAGTGTGTGACCCATTGATCTAAATAAAAGCCAAGGTAGATTCCCGGGTCCTGATGCCTGAGATTCTGATTCCGTTTCCTAGAGTGGGACCCAGTATCTGCAGGTGTGTCAGGCATCCTGTCCCACCTCATAGCTTACGCAGGCAGTCTTCAGGCCACATGGAGAAACCCTGGTTCAGACTTGGGACTCCTTAGGTTTGTGAGTACCGTGGAAGAGGATCCCTTAACAGACATGGGTTGGCAACTAAGAAGGGGAAAGGAGGGAGGAACCAGCTTCCTCTCACATGTAGTGCCAGTTCTTCCCATAAAAAAGAGAGAGAAGTATTGCGTAATGCACAGGTTAACCCCTGACAGGAGTAGTGACACAGCCTTTTTCTTGCCTTGATTTTTCTTTTTGTCAATAGGAACATCAAAGCATCTAAATGTATTATGTAGGAAATACAGATGGGAGGAGAAGGGCGGAGAACGGGAAGGAAGAAAGTGGTTCATGAGTCTGAGGAAACCAGACTGACTGCCTTAACAGACCCAATCACCGAAATGTTGATGCCATCTGATTATTATATATTGTCTTTTATGTTCTTTTTCCCCCTTTTTGTTTTCTCTTTTTATTTTTATTTTTTTTTGTGGTACGCGGGCCTCTCACTGTTGTGGCCTCTCCCGTTGCAGAGCACAGGCTCCGGACGCGCAGGCTCAGCGGCCATGGCTCACGGGCCTAGCCGCTCCGTGGCATGTGGGATTTGTTTTCTCTTTTTTCCCTCGGTTTCATGGGACCTAGATTGCCCTCTGCTGGCCAAAACAAAAACATTTTTTTAATCGGATAAAAAGCTGACAAAATTTCCTGATTGTTTTATAATCATCGTGTGTAAACAAACCTTAAGATCTGGCTCTTTCCAGGGGCGTGATGCTTAAGCTACTGCTCTTTTAATCAGTTAGTCATTTTTAGCATATCTGGGTATCAAACTGATACCTAGTGAAATCATGTGTGATGTTCAGAAAGAGACCTGAGTTCCTGCTCTTGTCGTACAAAGTACGGCATAATAATCCAGTTAAGACACATGTGATTAGCAATTTACAATGACTGCATGTGTGCAGTATGGGAATTAAACTGTGGTCTGCCCCCAGCTTTCTGAAGCTAAGCTGAAAAGAAGTTGTAGGTC